AAATCTAGAATTTACACAAAAAAAATCATTATTTTTTTTTACAACATCATGCCTACAATAGTGTACCACCACATTGTCTAATTACACATGTGTCCATGTCCACACAGCGGGGTCCACACAGGCACAGAGCCAAGCGTTTTGGGAAAAGTAAAAAAAAAAAATCTGTTTCTGCAAGTCTATAAAGTTTGCACATTTTCCGTGGGTCTCTTGGCTCTGGGGGTCCGTTCAGTGGCTCCTCCACAGTAAAACGTGGACCGGTGGGGGCCCTCACAGGAATAACTTTTAGGCACCAAAAGCAAATTTGAACAGTTTTTCAGAGCTGATGCGGCTCAGAACGTGTCCCTCTGCTGTGGGTTTCTGTAAGGGGGCTCCTCGGCGGGGTCGGGTGTGGAGTGGCCGCTGGGTGGGCTTTGGGCGCCGCTGGCACCCGAGCTGTGGCACACGTACCACTCGCTTAAATTAGCCGGCTGGGAGGCCCCCACGGGCTCCGACAGCACCGAGGGGCCCCCGGGCTCGCGGCCCAGGTCCGAGGAAGGGGACACCAGGGACGGGGTGGACGACTCGTAGCCCGAGCTGGGCGGGGGGGACTTGCAGTGCACCTTCATGTGCTTCCGCAGGGAGCTSGGGTGCGTGTAGGACTTGTCGCAGCCTCTCACTTTGCAGTTGTAGGGCTTGTCGCTGGTGTGCACGTGCGAGTGCTTTTTCCGGTCGCTGCTGTTGGCGAAGCGTCGGTCGCAGCCGTCGAACTCACATTTGAAGGGCTTCTCACCTGTTAGCAGCCAGGAAGACAGGAGAAACAGACACATAAGTGGACTGAAAGCTCCTGATTATGGCGCTAAAACACAATAACAATAACATATTTAYATATGCATGCAGCTGTGCGTTCACTTCCGGTCTGATCTGATTTTATGCATATGGAGATCAAAGAGGCAACTAACAGTAAATTAAGTGACATAAAGGTTAAACATTTTCATATATTGTTAAAAACGCAGCTCTTTTTTGTAAAATGCATTAAACATATTTTCATTGTCTTTCTCAATCAAATAAAATCAAACAAACGCTTAACGCACGTGCACAGGTTGCCCTCTTGCTCAGAACTTGCCAAGTCAGGAGGTCTAAACCGTGTCTGAGTTTATACTGCATCTGCACGAGTCAAAACTCACAGAGATTAAGAACTGAGGTGCACGTTAGGCCTAAAACCAGCTGAAAAAAACAAAACGACGCACAGACGTGTTGCAACAATCCGCCTTGCAGCCTGTTTAATTCTTCTGAGTCTCATCCTGTGTTTTAATAATAAGTATTTCTACCTGATTATATGACAAGGCAGAAAAGGGGGGAGACAAGAGGGAGGGAGAGAAAAGGAGGAGAAAAAAAAGACAATCTGAATAAATTACACGGAAATCATCTGCTGCTGATTTTTCTCCTCCGATTAAAGCTTTTGAGAATATGTAATTGCCTCCGTCTAATTACACTTGCGGGTTGAATATCAATTTGACCTTCAGCTGTTGGGTTGAGAGAGCCAATCAAGGATATTAGTGTTAGTACAAGAAAGCGTCGAGGAACAGACCCCAGGGGCAGCCCCCAGTCATAAGCACACTTTCGGCTAGGTTTTAAACATGATACCAAAAGACCAGGCCCCTCGGGAGTCAACACACAGAAATAATTTAACAGATTTGTACTTAGGTAAWGTGAGCAAATTATATGAATAATACATGTGGGGGAGGAGGGGGAGGCGCAGAAACATGGCAGAAGGGGAGCCCTATCCAGCCACTGATAATATTAATAACAACAATAATAATAATATTAATAAAAGAGGGCATCACTGGATTAATTTACATGTCTGACTCTGCGTTTTGAGGCCTTTATTTTTCCTCTCCTCCTGGATCCGTCAGAAGCAGGCAGCCATGTTGGCCCATGAGATGKTTTTACTACTGTATTAAATCAGTCAGTCAGCATGCAGGAATGCCAGCATGGCTCACAGATTACTAAATCATTTTGGTCCCGTCTGCACTTGTCAACTTGTTGCTTTGCCTACAAACACCAGGACCACATTAGAAAATATCAGACAGAAGAAATGCAGAATAATTTTTTAAAAAAGGAGTGAAAAGGGAAACAATTGTGGATGCACAATATCACCGTAGATGTTATTGAAATATTATAATTCATAATTCATACACAACCAAAACCTGTTGCTGTAAAATCAAATTTAAAAGCCATCTTTGTGAAGATATATCTATCCAAGTTTTGCAGCCCAGTCAGTCAGTCAGTCAGTCAGTCAGTCAGTCAGTCAGTCAGTCAGTCAGTCAGTCAGTCAGTCAGTCAGCCACAGTCAGGTTTGGCACTAAGCTGCTTAGCCAAGACATGACGTGGGCCTCCGTCTTTGTGCTCTTGATGTAAACAAGAGGTTGAACCGTCAAAACGCCTAAGTGAGCCGCGCCATAATCCTCCAAAGCCAACCTCTGTAAAAACTTGCGAGCAAAATCTCTCACGACCAAGTGGAAAGCAGCTGCATGCGTCCTGCGCGCAAACGCTGCTTAATTAGCATATATTCAAATGCGTCAAATTAGAACAAAAAAAAAGGACGTTTTTAAAATGTGATTCATTTTGTGCTTAAGTAGCACATAAATCTTGCTCTTAAATGTMTTCATGCAAAATGAGATTTTTCCCAATTTATTACAATGTATTTTAAAGTTTTTTTTTAGAATGTATTTAAAAAAAATACCTGTGTGCGTCCTTTTGTGAATCTTCAGATTCTCGGATCTTGCAAACACTTTGCCACAGCCAGGGAAGGGGCATGGGAACGGTTTCTCTCCTGTGTGCACCCGAATGTGATTCACGAGTTTGTATTTGGCTTTAAACGGCTTGCCTTCCCGCGGACACTCTTCCCAGAAGCAGATGTGGTTCGCCTGCTCGGGTCCTCCGACGTGCTCCACCGTCACATGCGTGACGAGCTCGTGCATGGTGCTGTAAGTTTTCGAGCAAAGTTTCTTGGGCGCGAGCTCCGGCTCCAGCCACTTGCAGATCAGCTCCTGCTTGATCGGCTGCCTCATGTAGCGGAAGAACGCGCCTGCTCCGTGGTGAGGGTGGTGGTGGTGGTGGTGGTGGTGCGCGCCGAGATTCATGTTCAGATTCAGAGCGCCGTAGCCGTGCAGGGGCGAGGCGGAGAACGGATCAGCCCTGGAGCTTGCCACTTGACTCAAGTGATCAGACCGAACGTACATTTCTCCAGGTAGTCCTAACCTTATTTGTCCATTCAGCGCTTGGCCACCCGGTGATCCGCTGGAAGGCTGCTCGTGGTGAAGTCCGGAGAAGAGGCTTGCATGGTTCCCAGCGTCGGGGTGGTGACCATAGTGTCCGGGATAGCTACCTGTTGTTGAGACAAACATTCCGTGGTGAGAGGCTGGACCAGCAGTCTGGTCAGTGAGCACTGGCATGGCTTGAGCCGTCAGATCTCTCCGGATGAGGAAATCCCTACCTGCGGACAGAGCCTGGGCCGGGTGAGACATAGAATAAGGAACCGACGTCGCCTGGACCGGGCCAAAAGCTCCCGTTTGACTGGAGACCACTTCGCTGTGGCCTGCCATATGATGATTGTGGTGGTGGTGATGGTGGTGGGAATAATGATGGGCTGGGCTGATTTTGAGGGCCGCGGAGTGCCCCATGTGTTCTGGCCCGAATGGACTCGGCCCCAGGCGGGGTTCCGCAGTAATCTCCCCAGGGTGCGAGTGAGCCATTGAGTGTGGATGGCTGCTGAACCCCGGGAAGCCTGTCACGCTCTGAGGGGTATGGTGGTGATGATGGTGATGGTGGTGAGCCCCTGCCAAGTCAACTAATCTCAACGCCGTGTTCCGTTTGGAAAACGCAGGGTCCATCACGGGGCTTCCCAAAGCATCCACGCTCATTACTTCCTAATTTTAGAATAACTTGACAGCAGGCAAAATAATAATGATGATGACAAATATATTTTAATCGCAATGGCAAATAAAGAAAAAAAAACTTTTATAAAGTTAAGTCTATCTGCAGACAACATGGAATCCCATTCGGTTGAGAGGCAGCAGCAGGACGCTTTGATACTGAATAGAGATTCATGGTAGGCGCTGTAGCCCGTGGAGCTAAACAATCACCCTGCGCTCTAATTGGTCAGAGCTCTGTGATTGACGTCACCAGTGACAGTTTCCAACGTGATGAAAAATGTCTTGGTGACAGCGAGCAGCCAGCGCGCATGCGCACTCCCAGAGGCAACGCTAGAGGGAAAATAAACTAGTTGTGCGAAGGTTTTCTGTAGAATATAACTCTTAAAAAGTTGTTTCGGGTTATAAACAGAGTCGTTTCGTTTCTTTGTGGAAGCAAACAAAAGCTGCGCGGTGATGAAAAGGCAACTCTCCAGCTTAGATTTGCTGATTACAAAACCAGACTGCCGCGCGAGAGTGCGCATATTGTCACTATAAAAGTTGTGTCGATCATAAATAATGCAGTGATATCTTCATTTTGCTCTGCAACGTGTGCAGGGGCACCTTTACGCACAGATTTACGCACAGATTTACGCACAGAAACGATCGGCGGCAGCGGAGTAAAAGTTGTGTAAAGAACAAATCCGCCACGAGGAGTTTAAAAACCGACCAGGAAAAAAAAATGCTCTTTGATATTTACACATGCAGCCGTTTTCCCTCCAGCGCGTTCAGCTTAGCTGACTTCTCGCTCTGCGCAGTCAGATCCGTGTGTGTGAGTGTGTGTGTGTGTGTTGTGAATAAAACGAGCCGCGGCCATTCTATCTTCAGGAGGAAAAATGTAATGGACGGAACCCGTGGTTTTGATCCGGGGTGGTTCTGCTTTAGACCCAGGACGGCAGCAGACGAGGGTCACAGTAGGAGGTGCCGTGGCAGAGTTGAGTTGAAAATAAAAAGCGAATGTGTTGCTGTGAGTTTTACAGGTCTTGGTAATCATTTTCTGAGTTGGTTTAATATTTAAAACAAATATGTGAGCATTTAAAGGTCCCAAAATAGCCCTGTTAGATTTATTCAAATATCTGTTTGTTGTTTATTTTCACGTGAACTTGGACTTTTAGTGTTTTTTTTTTTTAAAGAAACGGTGTTTGAAGTTCTTTCTATGACCTCGGCTCGGCTGATTTTATCTGATCTTGCAAATTTCCTCCTAAATTTTTTAAAATATGTGGATAAAATTTGGCTACTCTTTCTTGTATTATAGAAGTTTATTGAATTAGTTTTTATTTTTCTGAATACAAAAGTTAAACCAATGTGCGTAATTTTTTAAGTTTTAATAGACTTCTATATTTTGGGGGGAGAAAAGATGCGAATTTGAAAATTACTCATATCCATATCTCCCTTATTTTTTATTATCTACAGTTTTTTAGGTGTTTGTTGACTTTTTTTAACTGAAAGTCACGTTTCAGACTCATTATCAGAATATATACATTTTTTGAGAAAAATAAATACAATATGAACTTAGAATGATTGCATGCCTTGTTCCCAGATGAGAACTGGAATAAAGTAGTTATAAAGTGTGAATTTGATTTGCTTTTTTAAAAAACATTCTGTTAACATTATGACTGTAATTTATGCATTTAGGTGTTTTCCATGAATTAACCCGTCACCGTCACCGCTGACAGCATCACATCCAGCATGTTAGAAACTGAGTCAATGTTTGGAGAGAGGTGGCGGATCCCAAAGATGTTTATTAAAAGGCCTTCAAAGGGCGCGAGGAGTCCAACGAGGCGCGCAGCTGCAGAAATCAGATGCACCACAGCAGCGGTGTGTAACGCAAAACTCGGTGGTGCTATTTCTGGTCCAAGTGGTCTATATGCACTTACTCACTCACACTTGGAGGCATGTAAGCGTGCTTTTGTGTGCGTGTGTGTGTGTATGGGTGTGAGTGTGTGCAGGATAAACAGAAACGCTGGGTGCTGCAGCGAGCACTCATAAAACGTCAAATTCGCTGCTTTGGCTCAGTTTCTCCCACTGCAGCTCTTTAAAGAACAATGTTCTGAAATTATTCATGTTTTGACTTTAAACTAAAACGCATGTGGCACATTTGCATGAATTAGGATTTACAGCTAATGATTTAACATTCTTTTGAATTCTTTTGATGCGTATATTACCTATATTTTTTTGCACTCATTTACAAATTTAGCCTCACTTGTTGCTCATTTGAGTGCGTGACCTGCAGGTCTGAAGCTTGCATTATTTATTAAATATGTCTGTCTTTCTGCATCCCTTCTTTTGAAAATGTCCCCCACCCCCACACCAAATTTGGCAAAACAGAAGATCTAAAAGATGAAGATGAGGGGAAAAAATTACTTTCCTCGACCTCCTATGAGATTAGGAACGCAGTGTAGAAACTATAGTAGCCAAGAAATTTTTTTTCAGTGTGCAATGTGGTTTTGAACTCAAAGCAGTCGGAGTTTCCTGCAGAGAGCGCCGCAAATACCACTTGATAACTTCGACAACCCACAAGGTTTGTTTTTTTATTATTATTTTACGCACGGGTTATGTGCACCACTGGCCTGCGACGAATGCACAAGTTGCACGAGCATCAGCAGCCAAACACCGTGCTGGAAACATTGGGGAACTTAAACACTGGCCCTGCATGGTTAAGGTGGAAGTTCTGAGAGCGTGGGCTCAGTGGTTAGCTGGGGAGCCCAGATGTTTAGGAGTGTGAGCTCCCCCCGTTACGCTCAAGGGAGACAGTGCAGAAATGTGGAGGCAGGCAACAATAAGATGAGTAGATTTGCTAATCAAGGGGATCTTTTTTGGAGAGGTGACAGAAACCACATGATTCCACAACAAAATAGTCCTCAAGTGCATTAATGTAAAGAAGATGGTGCTATGACAGCTGACAGTCCATCCAAATTTACGCAACAATTGCATTTTATTTATTTGTATTATTTATTGTTTTGAGGCTGTTTGCCAGATTTAACTGCACAAAACAATTACAAATGGCAAATTATTTTAAAAATGGTTGACAAAGACATGTGGTACTATTATAATTTCTGACAGAATGTTGCACTAAAGCCATTTTATTATTATTATTTGTTAGAAGTCAGGGCATTTCCTCAGGTCCCATCCTTTGTTTTGCTATTATTCAGCCGTTTAACTAAAGTCACAGTCAGCAGTCTGAAAATATCTGGGACTGATGATGTAAAGAGGAATGGAAGTGTGGGCCCTGCACGGCGGATTGTTATTTGTGCGCGTTGCTTGGAGAGGGGGGATAAAAGGGGGACTCCGCCAATGGGCGCGCGACGCCGGCGCCACGTGACCGCCCCCCTCCTCTCCCATTCATCAGGGCTGGGACTCTGTGTTGTCTTTTCAATTCATTTATCTGCAGGAATGATTGCGACTATCAGTCTAGAGCTCACCGCCTGACTGAGGAGGTGAAAGTTGCGCTGCGGGGAGATAAACCGCAAAAAAGACAATATTGCGTGTGTATATGCGCGGCTTTTTGCRTCGGATGAGCGGTGCGGGGGGATTCCTCGCGTTGGAGAAAAAGTAAACAGGAGGAGAGACGGGGGGAAGAAGGAAAAAAAAAATATTGGATTCGAGTTTTGCTCAGTACCGGTGGGGTAGCCTATACACAGAGACAAGCAGCAGAGAGAGGGGGAAGAATATCTGCGCGTGTTTTTTTCCACTTCTGCTCTCAGTCGTCTCGGCGAGTCTAGACTGAAGATGCTCCTGGACGCAGGACCGCAGTACCCCACGATAGGAGTCACTACTTTCGGCTCCTCGCGGCATCACTCAACAGGCGAGGTGGCAGAGAGGGAAGTGGCGCTGGGGATCAACCCGTTCGCGGATGGGATGGGCGCCTTCAAAATCAACCACAGCTCTCACGACATTGGCTCTGGACAGACGGCGTTTTCCTCCCAGGCGCCCGGATACGCAGCCGCCGCTTTGGGACACCACCACCACCCGACCCACGTCGGCTCCTACTCCACGGCGGCGTTCAACTCCACCAGGGACTTCCTGTTCAGAAACCGGGGCTTCGGGGATGCCGCCGGGGCGCAGCACAGTCTCTTCGCCTCCGGAAGTTTCGCAGGGCCCCACGGACACTCGGATGCAGCCGGGCACCTGCTCTTCCCGGGGCTCCACGAGCAGGCGGCGGGCCACGCGTCGTCCAACGTGGTCAACAGCCAAATGCGGCTGGGCTTCTCGGGGGACATGTACGGCCGGGCCGACCAGTACGGCCACGTCACGAGCCCCCGATCCGACCACTACGCGTCCACCCAGCTGCACGGCTACGGCCCCATGAACATGAACATGGCCGCGCACCACGGAGCGGGGGCCTTCTTCCGATACATGCGGCAGCCCATCAAGCAGGAGCTCATCTGCAAGTGGATCGAGCCGGAGCAGCTGAGCAACCCCAAGAAGTCGTGCAACAAAACTTTCAGCACCATGCACGAGCTGGTGACCCATCTGACGGTGGAGCATGTGGGGGGGCCCGAGCAGACCAACCACATCTGCTTCTGGGAGGACTGCTCCAGAGAGGGGAAGCCGTTCAAAGCCAAATACAAACTTGTGAATCATATCAGAGTGCACACCGGAGAGAAGCCCTTCCCGTGCCCGTTCCCCGGCTGTGGCAAAGTGTTTGCCCGATCGGAAAACCTAAAAATTCACAAAAGGACTCACACGGGTAAGAACCACGAAGATTGTCAGAATAAAACCATTTTTTTAAAATCCTGCAAAATCAATGCTCATATAAAAAAAGAAAGAAAAGAAAAAAATGTGCACGTGATCCGCGTGCCATCTTTTCACAGACATTTGGCTGAGAGCAGAAAATATTTTTTTCAAGCTTCTAATTTTAAATTAGACGTTTTACCTTTAACAGACATTTCCCTTTGAAATTATAGCAATTTTAGTCAGTGAGTTTTGGTGAATTATTTATAATATAAGACTAGTGGGAAATTATTTATGAAGGAGTAAAAATAACAATGATAGTTGTGGGATTATTTTAGCGCATTGATGTGGACTCGGTGCTGAACCGTGTGTTTGTCTCCTGCGTTATTTAGGGGAGAAGCCGTTTAAGTGTGAGTTTGAAGGCTGCGACAGACGCTTTGCAAACAGCAGTGACCGCAAGAAACACATGCACGTGCACACGTCGGACAAGCCGTACCTCTGCAAAATGTGCGACAAGTCCTACACACACCCCAGCTCCCTCCGGAAACACATGAAGGTAAAC